CTTGAGAGCTTTCGCTGTAGGTAGACAATTTATTAGGAAGGTGGAAGTGACTCAGAGCAGAACATGCATTATAATGCATGCCAGATACCTTAGGCCACAAAATATATTTGCTGTACTCATTAGAAGAACTTCCTTGAACCTATTTAATGTTATTTGAAAAAGGCAATTAGCATTCTTTGCTATTTTTTGTTTCAAAATAAATAATGTACCTTAGGCTCGATAATCCAAAGTCAGGCCAATAAATGCGGTAGTGGTTGCAACTCATGCGCTCTGCGAAAAGTGCTTAAAGTTTTTGGAGTAGTGTTGATTAAAAGAAACGAGCATATTTGCCTGACTTTCTGGATGTTTTCATAGATTTTATGGAAGAACTTGGTAACAAATGTTTCTTAAGTATTTTCATTTATCTTCTTTGTCTTGCTTCATTTTCGTGCATTAGAGCTAGAGTAGTTTTTCATATGCAAAACATGTGATTGACTTCGAAGTGATTCACTATGTCGAGAATTATTATTTTATTAACGAAATTTCGTGGCGGGATTACAAGAATCATTATACTTTGAAATAATGAGAAGTGAAATTAATTTGCTGTTTTCTGGAAGCTATGCAGTCCAAGCGCTCCTTCGGAGAACATTTCGCATAGAACTGTACCAAAAGCAGAACATTTCGTAAAAATCTGGACAAGAAATTAATTATGAAAAAATTATTCTTAGTACCTCTGGGATTTTTGCTGGGTATTGAACTGATTGTCAGCTACTTAAGACAGATTTCGAGTGCGTAAAATAATATTTTTTTTCATCTTCGCGTTTTCCTGCTTCCGCAGGATCTGCTGCAGGAGCCAACTTTCTGCAGTATTTGCGATTCAACCTGATGTGCATCTATCTTGAGCTCTTTCAAGTTGGCTCTTTTTCTTTCCATACACCTCATCTTGTCTCGTGTCTTTCCAACGACCTTTAGGAACTTGCCATTTTTATGGTGTAAGTCTCTCTACTCCTCTGCCCACAGCATCGCAGTTGTCTTTTCTGCATCTTTTTGGCGATGGGAAGCAACTTTCATTTTCGCTCGATTTGTCAATATAGACATGATTCAGCAGGTCGCTCGATTTCTACGTGGCGTTCTTATCTTATGAGGCTAAGCTTCTGTTCTTCATTGTACGTACTTGGCCAACATTTACTCCATACAACTGTTG